TCGTCCTTCATTAGGGAACAAAAACAATCCTATATATTATAAGTGAAGATAGAAAAAACTATTCATTTACAAATTCTAAAAAATAGAAGTAACTTAACCTTACATAAAAGAAGAGGAAATAGATATAATTAATAATAAAAGTTCAAAAATTCTATAAAATTAAGAATTCCATTATGCAGAGATATTAAGATCCTGCAATTCGAATTATACTAATGACGGCTAATCCAGTGTCCATAAAAAGCCCTAAGTATAAAAGCATATAGACACGTATTTCAGATATCCGCACTAGCGACATTTATTTGACAGTCTAATGATTGCTCTATCTTGCTACGAAACGGCGTTCGCGAACCTCTGACGCATGCATGTACCGATCTTAAGAGTTCAAACGAGATCTGTGTCCTGAGCCAAGTGATTACAACGTGATAAGGCTCGGTATCTTTCTGAGATATCTTGTCTGCGAGATGCTTTAAGAACCGCTGACACTCGTTATTGATTTTATTATTTTATTTTCTATTATTTCGCGACGAATTATTAACAAAGAAGTTAAATTGTCCGGTGATTAAGTTTTGGTTCTTATTCTTACAACATAATTATAAATAGCTTTAGAAATACTCGATGTACTTGTATGGTCCTGCAAATAAAGCGTGTTGTTGTATTACTACAACCAAATGTGCAAAAAAAAAAGTAAAAATGAAAGCTTCCGTTCACTCACCTCCTCTAAGATAAACCGACAGTTCAGCAAACTCCTGAAAGGTTCTGAAGTAAAAGGCTTGTTTGTCTGCATTATTAACCATCTTTTGTAAGTTGTTCTCCAGAATTCTGTTTCCGACGCCGATCACAAATACCTCAATATTGGCCTGTTGTAGATTCTTGGCAATGGAAACAGGGCTCTGGCCTTGCCAAGGACCAACCGTGAGGAAAATAACCACCGTTTTCACTCGATAGAGGGGGACCCTTTTCAATGCGCTTAATTGTCCAAGGCAGATATCAAAGGCCAGTTTAAAGGCACCATGCGTATTCCTGCCGAAGCCATTGATGCTTTGAGGCATAGAATTGAATTTTTCAACCAGCTGGCACTTGTGCTTGTCCAAGGAGGGAACGGAAACTCCGTCTATGAATCGGCTTGCTGTGTCGGCAAAAGGTATGACTTCTATTCGGGTAGAATCAACGCTAACAGTTATAGTGTTCAAAATGTTCATGACGAATCCCTTTTGAGTTTGAAACTCACTGGACGACACCCTACCGGAGGTGTCGAACAGGAACAAAATGTCGCTCTTCTTATTAGCACCGGCTAGCTCATCTCGTAGCCTTTTGAGTTCTCTTTTTGCACGTTCTAGGTTACTTTGCGCAAATGTAAAGAGGCCCATTACCAGAATGAATGCCACAACTGCAAAAACACCTTTCATCTTCAAGGTGATTTGGGGCACGAATTAGGACAGAGACAGTGACCTTTGATTTGTTAAGAGTATAATGAACTCAGAATTGTTTCGCTGGTGATTAGGAGACTTGATGGATTTTTAGAATGCAGCTGAATAAATGACAAGAATAATGTTCAAGTATGGGGTAATTGAAAGCCGTATGACTAAAACTTTTTACAAGTAGTAAATCCACGTTTTAAAAAGGGAGGCCATCGTCTGTTATTTTGGTTGCTCTAAACGATTGAATTTCACCCACCAAAATAGGCTCCATTAAACACAGTGTATCCGAGATGAAATGAAGAAAAGATAACTATTCCCAGTTAATCAGGTGTGCAAATAAATAAGGCAAAAAAAGTCGCAACTCAATACAAAATCTATTAAATTCGCATGCAAATGCCATTGATGATTATAATACACTAAAGCCACAATTTTTACTCAAAGGGACTCAGGACGTGATCACTGACAATTGGTAATAACAACGGAAATCATTTGTTCACTTTTGCTAACTTACAGCAATATATTAACCGTCAGTCCTGAAACAGGTGAAGTACATGAACAACATTTCACGACACATCTTATTTAAAAAAGCCGTATTTTCACAACTGTCTTTGGACATGAGGTATTTTTATATTTGTCACATAGAAATTAAACAATCAGTGGACAATTTTCGAAGTATTTTTTGTGTTTGACTGTAAGATAATATAATTATCATACCTTTTTGTACAAACCCTATATGGAATACCACTCAGTTTGAAAGAACGGCATCTTTTGGCTTTTTACCTGGTTCGACAAAAAAATAACAAAATGTGTAGTTTTGATTTTCTGGTCAACAGAGTCAAAATTAAGATACTATTTTTTAAGCTTTGCTAAGGCCATCCACCCCCCCCCCCGCCTTGTTTTTTTTTTGTGTTTGTTTTTTTTGTTGTTTAGCGTCCAATGTGTTTCCTGATATTGGGTCGGTCGGTCGGATTGAAAAAAAAAAACTAAAAAAAAAAAACACAAGAAGTCTTGGAATTGGAGGCCCTGGTACCCCAAGATGAGTTGTGACATTAAAAGTTATTATTGACATTTGGATCAACAAAATGCACAAAAGTCTTTGTTGCTGTTTTTCTCTATGCTGTTACTATGCTCATTTTTCAGATTGAAAGAATTATTTCAGGTGAAAGACATGGTTTAAGTACACCGTTCCTTTTTTTTTTTTGAAAATGTCAAAAATTTGGGTCGGTCGGACGACGCTAAACGGAGAAAAAAAAGGGAATGGCATAAACGCAAATTAAAATCAAATTTTGATCGTCCTTCCTCTATTTTCTTCGCTAATTCCATAACCTTTTTCAATCTTCCTGTGAGTAACAATTCATAGGATTGTCAAATATTGGCAGGTGACGCATCATGCCGAACGCCAGGAAAGATGGGCAAAAAAACATGATACTTGTTTTGATAGCTGGTCTTGACTTTTTTTTCGTGCAAAAATCAAGGTATTTCACATAGAGACTACTAGAAAATTCAAAGGGAAATATAATTTTCAAAAGATCGAATTTCCTGAGAGCTAATTATAATATTAATTTTGTTTGCCGAAAAGAACACCAGACCCTCAAGACTTTTTCTGTGAACTAGATCTGTATGGTTTGCCCTTGTGGTTTAAGATAGCGACAATCGACTTGGGTAGTCCGTGTCAGGCTCTCAGATAGTCGGAAGGTCTCGTAAACAATGCGCAAACAAGACGTGCGGGGCCGACGAGCGAAAATAAGACGCGTGTGATCTCTCCTCAGATCCTGCGCGTTTTACACATCAGACTTCATCGGACTTCTATCCAGTCATTCTAAAAAATGAACGTCTGAAACGTATCGTTAGATGGCCATATTTTTGTGAAATTTACAAACAGCAGAGTTTTTGATTCAACAAACGTTTGACTTTTAAGTCAAACATTTAAAAATGCAAGAATTTAAAAATGCAAGATATACTTTGAATCGAAGCACCGACTGAAAAAGGTTTCATCCTTAATAGCCCATTTGCACTAAGAGGTCATGTGACATTATTTTTATGAAAACGAAAGTTAATTTTGCCTTCAAAAAAAACATTGGTGGGTCATATCTTAAACAAAATAATAGTGATTTGGTTTTTCAAACCCGCACCATTTTCTTAAAATGAGTCAGTTCATAGCTGGACACGTGACCAAAATATGATTTTTAAAACTATGAATTACTTCTTTCTAAACAGAAATTTTGCACTTAAACTTCAAGGAAATTGTTGAAAAGATGATGTGGTAACGTTTTCAGCACATCTGAGCGTAACTATCAAACGTTTACCGAGATACAAGTAAAAAGTAGTTTTGTCCGCCATGTTGGAGGGCACGGGTATGCCCTCCAACATGGCGGCCAATACAAATCATACTACTTTGTCGAAAAATCAAAGTTCCATGAAATATCTCCTTTAAATGTGTTTCCTCTCAAATTTCGGGTCTAAGATAATTTTTATGCCCTCCGTTAATTTTTGGCATCATCAACATTCCAACCCATTGTTTAAAGGAAACATTGGTCACGTGACCTCTTAGTACAAGTGGCCTATTATTTTCCTTGCCTGCTTTATTCCTCAAAAGTTTTGCTTACCTTCGCTAAATTCCGAACAATGGACGAAAACGTGACAATGAACTCCACGAGTAATTGGTTTTGTTCGGAGAGTCTTATTACATTGCAGTAAGAAGTCTTTTATGCATAAGTTATTGTAAAATTTCTACGGTATTTGTAATTAAAATACCGAAGTATTATTTACAATTAAAATACAGTGAACTAGTCCATGCTGAAAAGTACGCGTATGAATTACACGCACTGACTCGTAATCTAGTAACAATATGCACCCTTTTCAGCAAAGTTAGTAGAGAACGCTTCCTGTGCCATGATTTAATTTTCCGACCCAGAGTAACCTTTTTTTATCCGAATTGAGGTAATAAGGTAAATTGTCCTTGACTAGGACGGTAGTTCTTCACGACAAAAAAACCTTACTGGATTAATGGGTAAATCTCAAAGTATCAGCCTTCTGATCTTTTCGGTTCACGATGACAGAATTTAACTCTAAGCTCAACCGACAACTCTCAGCGAAGATAGACGGGAGTGTTTAATAAATTCATCTAAAAGGCAGTCACAGAACCCGTTAAGTTTACGGGTGTGGTAGGTATATCCCGTACCCAAATCCCAGGTGATAGGTGCATCCCCTTCTCATGATGCTTTACTGTGTTTTGGGTATCCCTTGCCGAATTTCCTCCCAGTGGACGCAGATCAGTAGTAAGTTTCATTCTGACCATGTTCCGTACCTTCTTTCGGTGGGAAAGGGATTATAAGTAACTTTATCTTATGGAGTGACAGAGAGCCCCCATTACAGCTAGCATCCATGGGGGGACCTGTGTATTTCTCGTCACCCCCACCAACGCAGCAAAGTAGTATTTGCTTCAACTCTCTGTTTTTTTTGTTTTTTTTTTTTCCCAAGGCTTTATCTTTCTGTTAATATCCACGAAACTTTTGACAGACAGAGCAACGAAATTTAGATGATTTTGAAAAAAAGTTAACGGCGACGATTTTGAACTCCATGCTCTCGGTTTCTTTTTTTTAATTAAAAAAAAACGCCCCAAATCTCAATATGACATGCACCGAACACTTCAGTTTAAAAGGAATCTGTTCCGTTGCAGAGGGCTTAATTAAAAATTCCTATCTTTTGGTTTACATCATGTTCCTTCCTCTGTGCATATTCCCTATGTTCCATAACGGTTTCAGCACACACGGTTTGGGTTCCCATCCGTATGGGGGTCCTCCCATGGCCCTCCAATCAAATTGCGTGCTCAGTGGACACAAGTTGCTGATTGGTTGAATCGAGGGAACCCAGTACGTTGAATAATTGTTCCGCGTGGCTATTTTCCAGTACACAAGCATCTCGTGCAAATATGATCCGTGAAGACTGATATATGTACCACAGACCTCTTGTAGAGACTTGAACTCAGGTATATGAGCGGTGACGTCGTGATATATCCTCGGATCGTGGAAATGAATAACATTTTTAACATCGTTCATCCAAATTGCGATAGTCTGATCACCAAATGGATGGCACAGTAAGCTGGCCTTTTTACTCATAAACTCTCGTACCAGATCCCCTGATAAGATGATGAAGCCCTCGTCAATTCGCACCAGTCCCTCAACCTCGCAGTGAACGTAACCCCAGTAGAGTCTGGAAATAAATCAGATTTAACTTTATCTTCTTACAGTGATGGCAGGTAGACGCTTCGCATTAAATAACCCCAGCTTTTATTTAGAAAACAATATTAATTTTGGATCAAAAGCTCAAGAGATCATATCTCGCGCGGTTAAATTATAATTCTGACGGGTACCTGCCATTCACCATGATTTATCTTCATTGGCGCTGTCAAGGTCATTTAAGACGGTTCAAGATTCAAGATCAAGAATACTATGAATTTAATTTTTCACCTCCTTTTAGATTTCATAATGAAATGCTTTTACTTGTTATTATATGCTTTTGATAGGTTTCGGCAAATTAAGAAACAATAAAATATGAAACTTGCGGACGCTTCGACGGATTATAAGTTTGACATCTTCAGAAATTGAAAACTCTTAAATCTAAAGGTGATGTTACACGTTACGATTCGCAACGACGATTTTTAGCGCAACACAGCGTTTCAATGTTGGAACAATGTCGTAACTATTCAAAACAATGTCGCAACAATGTTGCAACGCCGTGTTGTCCTAAAAATCATGGGTGCCAATCGTCTCGGGTAACATCACCTTAAAGTAAAGTCGTCTTTTAGCGCTACCCGATAAACCTGTTTGAACAATGTTGTTCGTTTTACCTTATTCCAATAGTCCTTGTTTTCAGTAACCACCATTGTTACTTTCATAAGCTTCTCATACAGGCTTGTGAGGGATCACGAACTCCAGCCCGGATCGAGGAAGGGGAATAAAAACATACCCTGCATATATTTTTTGTAG